ATCCTGTAGGCAACCTGGATCCAAACCATGTAAGGTTTTAATGGTCAAAACCAACACTTTGTACTTTGCACAGAAACTAATTGGCAACGAGTGGAATGAATTCAATATGGGTGTAATATGCTCACTCCTAGATGTTCCTGTAACTAGTCTGGCTGCTGTATTTTGAACTAATTGGAGTTTCCAAATTTGGTACAGATGGGCCCCAATGTAAAGCGTACTGCAGATGTCCAACTTCGAGGTTACTAGCATGTGCCCTACCAACTTTAAATGCTCCGATTATAGAAAGGGGCCCAACTGGCATATCAGTCAAAGCTGGTAGTACGAATGCTTGAGAGACTGGTCTGTAATTATTAAGGTCTAGGAGATGTAATGTCAGGCTTGTTTGTGGTGGAGACATGTCCACTCATGAACCTTTTGAATGGGAGAATGGACACTGAGTTTCCTCTAAAAATGCCTTGTAACTTAGTTAAACATGGTTTTTGGTCATAGCAGAACTTTTTCAAGGAGAATTTGAACCTCCTCTCCTGGGCAGCAAATTCCACAATGTACGTTGGTCAAAAAGAAGGTCCCTTGTCTTCACCTCACTGACTGTGGCTTCATCGTTACTGGAACATAAAGAAAGTTATCTCCATCACGGGGCAGAAGAGGAAGTTTTGTATTGCAGTGACCTCCATACTAGATTTACACTGCCTGCATAGTTTGTATGTGGGCACAAGTAAGGCTGCCCAACAGTCTAAATACCTAAACACACCCAGATCCCCTCCCTCCCCCCAATAAACATCCAAGAAAATGTTTCAATATGACAGCAACACCGAGCTTCCAAAATCTAAGAATTCCTGCAACTCCTTTTCCTAAGCAAGCTCGTTTGTCTTTCCTGGGACTTAGAGGTTTCAGTGTACTCTGAGGAATAGAACAATAAATGCTTTGGGGATTGAACAAGCAGTGCAGAGCCACACCAGTGTAAGAAAGAACAGAAAATGCCTTAAGCCCTTTGCCTCCTTGATTCCTTCCTTTCAATATAATGTCCCCCTTGAGATGCACAGTGCTGCTGGAAGCACAGTGCAGTGCAATGTTTTTTCCTCCTTTTCCACATTGCATGTTGCATTCCTCCCCTTCCAGCAGCCTATCAGGTACGTAAGCATGCTAAAGCCTCAGATAACAGTGGTAATAAAACCCGAAATTTCAGCCCCCTTCTTTATGATGCTTTATGAAGTGTTGCCAAAACATGGCACTGTTTCCATAGGAAGCCATTTGAACACGGTATTGTTTTATAGTCTGTGGCTAATAAACTACCATAAAAACAAGATCGCCGCAACCATCCCGAACAATGGATAGGGTTTTTGCCCTTCTCCATTCTGTCATTTGTTCTATTTTGCCAGAATGCCTATGCTCCTCTCCGGAATGCCTTCTCATAAAACAAAAAATGGGGGCAGAGGCTTATTTCTAAATACAGAAGCACCTTAATAAAATAAAGATGTGATGAAGTCTTTAAAAAGTGCTGCCAAGGAGATGGGTTCAAAGACATTCCCATAACATCCAAATTTTTATCTGATCAAATTCCAATAAATCCTGCATTTGGCATCAATCTTTTAAAAACATAGTGAGAGACACTGGTGGATGTTTGAGCTTGTTTGTTTAATCACTTTCTTTCTTTCTTTCTTTCTTTCTTTCTTTCTTTCTTTCTTTCTTTCTTTCTTTCTTTCTTTCTTTCCCTCCCTTCTTTTAAAGAATTCTATCCACCAGATATTAGCTAAAGTCTTGGTCTTTTGATAGAATGCACAATGAAAAATGTTTATTGTGCTGTTTCTTTTTAACAGAAGTTGGAGAAGAGATTACAAAGAAAAAGAAAAAAGCTCACTTATAAATTTCAGTATTAACACATTTGATTTCTATTACAAAGATACAGAAAAAGTCATAAACTCCGCTTTCTTAATAACAATGCTGTGGAACTGTGAGACTTTTAGTTTCCCTACACTGCACATCTGTAACAATCTGATACCACTTTAGCGCCCATGATTACATCCCATGAAATCACACCATGTTTTCAGAATTATTTGCCAAAGATACAAAGCAAACAAGACAGTTTAAGTTCCACTCTCATTTGTCTCCCCCACCCAATTAATAAACTCAAATGATTGTTTAAAAAACCTACAACCTGATTAAGCTGAAAATACCAAAACATTGCTATGGGCTTAGTATAAATAATTGGCTTTAAATCTAAGCATTTTAATTTAACTGGATTGCATATTAAGCTGCAAGGGAGTTAATGCTATGTGGAAGAATTAGTTGGTGCTGAAAGAAACGAAATAACAGGAACTCTTGACTTTATGAAACATACATCAACATCATTAAAAGAAAGACCGATATTGAGGGTCAATTGAGATCACAGAGGATGAGATGATGACGTTACCTCACTTTCGGCCATTACCTTTTTAAAAGAAAAAAACACCCTTTCAGAGTGTAATCTTATGCAGATTTATTTGGGAGTAAAGTCAACCGGGTTTAATTGAGCTGATTTGGAGCAAAAGTACCGGGGGGGGGGGGGGGGGATTAATGCTATAACTCTAATGTATGCTTACATGAGAATATGTGCCAAAGAAATGAATCAAAATAAGAGCAAGCTAATTTGAGTAACACACTGTGGTGATACCTTCATAGTGTCAGAATAACATGTACTTTGAATTTTATTTTATGGTCAACACAGTTAGTCCTCGTATTCTGAGTAAGTGAATGAAGTAGTAAAGTAAATTATAGAGTAAGTTTCATGTAGGTTAAGGCAGTAATACAACTCACTATTACACTGTGCTATCAAGACACCAGTGTAAATACACAGTGGGAAAAGAAACTTATCTGGATTACAAAATCAATCTATTGTACTTGTATATAAACCATTGCTTTCCCAGCCCTGCCACTGGCAGATTTATTCTAGCAGGTTTGTCATAAGTGTTACCTATGCACACAACTAGTTAATTTAATCTTACCTATTATCACGTGTTTTACTCTAGCCTATACAAATTTTGGTCCCCAAGGACAAAGCAAAATAGAAAATCCACAGGTGGACTATATCTTTATCAGCAGCAACAATAGTGTTCAGGTATTCAGATTATCTAAAACTTTAAAAAACTCAATGAAATTATTAAAAAAAATTCTCTAAAACTCTTCACGGACCCAAGTAGTGTAAAACTAAGGGTTGAGACACAAAAGTAAAAAAAAAAGGCGAAATGTTAAACTCATGAAGAACACAATTAAACTAAGTCACAAGGTGGAAGAATGCAGACTTGATAGGTCATTTGTAGTCATGTAGATAACATGATAGCTAGAAATAACTTCTGGTTCTGAAGAAGAGTTCTGATGAACTTGACAATTTGAAATCTATTATGGAATTAAAGTTGATTCCTCATAAATGTATTCCACATTCATGGATTTGGAATTTTAACTCTATCCTGAAGCCATATTAAGGTAGAACCTCTTTTTGCAATATTTCTCCACCTTTGCAACACTTCTTCACCCACATACACTATTCAAATGATAAAGGTTTACATAGCAATTTTATCTGTGATTATGTGATATCTTATTTATTTATTTACTTTGCTTGTATACCGCAATTTCTCAGCCTTGTAGGCGACTCAACTCGGTTTACAACAAGAGCAAAAGTCAATCCAACAGCATACACATTCGCTGGGTTGTTGTAGGTTTTCCGGGCTGTATGGCCATGTTCTAGAAGCATTCTCTCCTGACATTTCGCCTGCATCTGTGGCAAGCATCCTCAGAGGTTGTGAGGTTTGCTGGAAACTAGGAACATTATGTGATATCTGTTGCTCCATTTTAACCATGTGAAAAATCTCAGGTTTGGCACATCATTGAAAACCATTGCTTCTCAAACAATCAAATAGGGCAGGCTTTATTTCCCCCAAATATGCCAGAGACCAGTACCATATTATTATCATGTTTGCATAGATTTCTAGAAAACCCACTTCAAACTGGCTGCAGACAGTTCATGGACTTGAATATTGGTAAACCACCTCTTTTTCAATAACAGGGCAAAAAATGGAGGTCCTCGTGTCAACGGCTAGCAGCAGCATCTTTTCCAACATGAAATGAAGATGGTACACACCCCAGTTTGAGTTCTGATGGTAAAGAAACTTTACCATAGGAACAACATCTTTTCCTTGGGAAATTTAAGCAATGATGTGCCATTTAGAAGAATGTCTCATTATATTTTCAAACTTTAATAGACATGATTCCTGGCTAAAATGTCTTGGGGAATAAATATCTATTAAGGTTCCACATTCAGGCTGCACAAAAGCCTGAAACAAAAATTATTGGGTTTGAACTTGCAGTATATATATGCGTTCATTCTAATCAATAAACATTTTTGAACAAGCTCCACTGAGCTCAACGTGATTTGGTTCTGAGTGAATACTTGCAGGAGGGTATGTTACTGTGTAAGCTTACATGATATAATTTCACTTACATAACAGTTGAATAGAGACGATGAGACTTAATGGACTAGGTTTATTTTCATACATGACTCTTATTGTTCAGCTGCTAATATGGATACATAATTATGGATACCGTTTTGATCATAACTTTTTATATGTTTCAACCACAGGCCATTTCAGTTGTAACTCTTTTTATTTTGTAAGCAGTCTGGAGGGAAAGGTGATATGTAAAGTAATGGAGGGATGGATGTGCATGCTTTCTTTTCCAGTTGTCACAGTATGTTAATGGCATCTGATACGTGAACTTTAAAAAACATTCAAATAAATTTCCAATCTAATTGGGAATCGTTTAAACTGGCCTCACTCCTAGAATTTGTAGTTTGGTGAGGTAGTGAGAATTCACTGTGAGAGATCCTCAGAATTTCTTCACAGAACTACATTTCCCAGAGTTCACTACAAAAGAAAAATGAACATTAAAGTCACTCTTGTCTATATAGCATAATAATGCCCCAGACAGAAAGCACATAAGAAAAAGGCATTAGAGAGCCACACTGTTACCTGATAAAGCTCTATCCGCTGTTCCAATACGCGAGGCCTTGGATTCCTCAAGCGAAATACTCTAAACTCAGCTTTCACCAGGTTGGAAGCATTTTTTTCCATCGCTGAGACATCAAATCTCACTCTTCTAAAATAGGGGGTGGGGCCATTGGGCGAGATGAGATCTGCAAAAAGTTAGTGTAATGATTTAAAAGCATAAATATATTGTTCTTTAACAAGCCACAACACAAGGCAGCCTCAAAAAAACAGCAACGGAAATGTCTGCAGGATGATTCAGTCTCCAGCAGCCAATTTTGATATCATTAGCAATTTAACCAGATAAACAAACATGTGCATTTGATTATGGAAACAGCAGATTAATAGCGATCAACAAACCGTTTCCAACTCTCTTTCAGGGCATGTGTTTAACCCTGTTCTTTGAAAGCAACGGTGGAAAATCCTGGATGATTATAAATTGGAACAAACTCCTGACAGTTGATGTTTCACAAATGACTCTAGACTTGCATACTCGCAATTGCCAAGAAAATAGAATTTAATGACAAGCAGTTTGCCCTGAGTAGCATTTTTAAAAAAGGAAAGGAAAAGCCTGGAGCAAAAATATCTAAACTCTTTGACAATGTGTTTTGTCTTTTATTTCAAGTGTCTCAATTCTCAGAGAAGAGGAAAGAAAGCAGATAATCGCACAACAAATCTAAGATGTTACACAAAGCAAAGAAGTCCAAAACTGATGTGGAGGAGAGGAAATTTTCTTTATATGCATCATTTTAAAGCATCATTTTACACTCTGGCATGGATTGTCATAATGATATAGGTGCCATTTTTATCTGTGCCATTTTAAAAGCATCCACGTTTGATGGTTAAATGCAGTCTCCTTTTGTAACAGGCATGGGGAAAGTGCTGCTATATGGGGCCCCATTTTGCAACTTCTAAATTACCCTAATCTTTTACACCAAGTTGACCCCCCCCCCAGGCTAAAAACACCAATGAATTGACACAAATACGACACAGAGGGGTTAATTGGGTCCTCTTGTCCTCACTAATCTTTCCCCCTCCATATTCAGAATCCAATCCCACTGTCCAAAGAGCAGAAATCATCTGTATCCAAGACCTAGATGTGATACCATCTGTTTGCTATTGCTTTGGGAGTCACAAGAAGAAGAAAATGTTCCAAATTCACTAGCAGTTGCCCCTCTTTGTTTTGAAATGTAAATCAAATGGGTTATTAGTTTATCTCAATGGGCTTTTAAAATTGAAAGTGTAATATGTGGAATGGCAATCAAGACTGGAGAAACAGTAGGGGAAATATTTAAGCAGTTATCTGCTCCTCGTTTTGGCACTCCAAATTGCCCTTCTATGTGATTTTCCAAATATAGATTGCTATAGGTTGACCACTGTATTTTACTGATTTTAGACCCTGAATTTAATTATTAGCAGTATCATTTCTGAAAATAAGATGCGATTAGATAATATTATGGACAGTAACAAATTAAAAGCACATTTTCTGCTTCCACAAGCTGCCTGGGCCGCGGTGGCGCAATGAGTTGAACCCTTGTGCTGCTGAATGGCAGTTTGAACCTATGGGATGGGGTGAGTTCCTGCTGTTATCCCTAGCTCATGTCAAGCTAGCAGTCAGAAAACATGCAAATGTGTGTAGATAAATAGGTACAGCTTCGGCAGGAAAAGGCAAAAGACGCTCCAAGCAGTCTTGCCGGCCACACGACCAGGAGATGATAATGCAGGCTCCTCGGCTTGAAAATGGAGAAAGAACACCTTGCCCAGAGCCAAAGTTGAGCACTGCATCCAGAAGCCAGAAATGAAAAAGGAGAAACCTTGGCCTTGTCTGTGTCTCATTGTATGTGACTGTAAGACATTGAATATTGGCCTATGTCTGCTATAATCTGCTCTGAGACCCCTAGGGGAGACAGAGAGAATATAAATAAAGATTATTATTATTATTATTATTATTATTATTATTATTATTTCCATTAAGAGAAAAGTAAACTACGTGCCTTCAAGTAACCTCTTGGCCTTTAGTTGGCCATCAATTTTATAGGGTTTTCTCATGCAAGTAATACTAGGAGGTGGCTTGCTATCACCTTCCTCTGAATATATCATATATCCTTGTGCATAAGTTGAGGGAAGGTTTCAGGATCAAAATTATGGATTTTGATATAGCCCTTGCATAAGCAGAGAAAAGAAAGTATGAATACCACTATCTTCATTTCCCCATTCAGGCATTCAGAAAGGCCAGAAGCGGTGTGTGCATGTGCGTGCATTAGTGATTATTTTAGATTTTCCTGAGATGGACTAAGTTCCTTCCTTTTGCCATTCAAAGAAGGGGATACCTCCTCTTTGAAATTAAAATTGCGGTTGTGGTTTTTATTAAAATTTCTAGACTTATGAGTATATAAGGTAGCTCACACCAGCTGGTATTCCATCGTGGTCCCCCACCTAATATTAACCTACTCTGGCCTTGTTTAGCTTGTCAGATTAGAAACAGGATTTAGTGCCTTCAAGGCATTTAAACAACTTAAAGAGAGATAATTCTAAGGTAAACAAAAAGAGGACTAATTTAAATATATGAAAACATATTCAGGTGGTATGAAGCAGCATCATAACCATCATGTTTGATGGTTGATATCTTAATATTAATGGCAAAGTATTGGTTTTTTCAACAACCCATGGAAAAATATTTTAGATTTATGAATGATAAGAAGGTACAGAAGAAAACTAAAGGCACCCAGGGAGAAATAAACAAATGAATTCAGGCATAAAACAAAAGGAAAGTTAATGGCCACTAATTGTTGACTCCCTTTTAAAGCCCATTAACTTAACTGGATGGATAAGATAAATAATTAAAGCCCAGTAAAATAAACAGATGGGCTGGAGATCAAGGAGAACCTCAGCTGTTACATAAAAACCACTTCAAGCAGATAGAAATCAAGCAGACTAATGACTGCTTCCAACAGCTTTATGTAACTTATGCCTATGCTATTCATAAGCTGTTCACCATACTTAGAATGTTGCTGGTGATGGCAATAGAATTACTCCTCTCTAGATAGCTAGATAGGCTATATAGAATATGTTCCTCATTAATATAATATAATGCCTGTGCTTGGACAAGATAAAACCTACGGCCTTTTCACACAGCCCTATATCCCAGAGTATCAAGGCAGAAAATCCCACGTTATCTGAGTGTGAACTCAGATAACCCAGTTCAAAGCAGATATTGTAGGATTTTCTGCCTTGATATTCTGGGATATAGGGCTGTGTGGAAGCACCTTAAGATGTATAATTTCCTCACAAATGAGAAAGAAGTCAGGAGTGTCAAACCCATTCTCACCTAGGGCCACATTAAATTTATGGTTGCCATCAAAGGGCTCTTTGTAACTGTAAGTTTGTATGCATATAACTATGTTGTCTTGGTATTGAACGCCTTGTGGGACACATAAAATGATGTGGTTGGTTGGCTTTAGCCCACAGGCCCTGCATTTAACACATGTTGCTTAGACTAACGGCGCTTCCAGACAGCACTAAATCATGGGTTTTAGTGAAGGGCAAAAATCCTGAGACTTCAGGAGAGGTGCACATACAGTTGGTCCCAGGATTTCTGCCTCCATTGTCCAGACTTGATGCTTTGTTCTGAGATTTAGAGGCTTCCAAGATGGCTACCATGGGACATCTGTCGGAAACCAGCAGGTTTTTTTTTTTAAAAAAAAAACCCATGAGATGCGGATATGTGGAGATTTGGTTATGCGGATCACTGCAAAAGTTCAGTTCTGTGTGCAGGCCAGAGAAACTGTGCTCACCACACATTTCATAAAATTTCTGGCTCACAAACAAATTTTATGGGGTAGAACTACTTCTGTCCAAGTCAGCACTAGACAATGAAACAGGAACACACACATTTAAGCCAGGAACAGAATTTGTCATTATCTACTATTTTTAGCACCTGGCTGCCTGGCCATCTCTCCAAACAGATTTGGTTGTGTACTTGTGGCATCAAACAACAGGGTGCTGTTCCTGGGTTATACATGGCTATTTCTGATTGCTCTTCTTGTGAAAAAATGTACAACAACTCAATCAACAAGGGAATTTGCATCCTTTCTGGTGGTAGCTCCACCAGCTGTCACCGCATATGATATTCTGCAATAGTAAAAGCTGGTGGATGCCTTTGAGAATTACCTGAAGAAACAGTAGAATGTGTCAGAGAGACTGACAACATGAATAAGGTAAGGACTGGACTAGCTCCCGAGTTTACACAAGCGCAATGCCCCAAGAATTTTCATGCCATTTTAAAAGATCTAGGCTACAAAATCTTCACAGACTGAGCTCACCAAAACATTCCCCACTTGGAAAGTCTCTAAAGAAACCACTTTCTAATGCAAAAGCATCCAATAAAATATTTATTTAGGACACCACTAGTGTATAGTCTTCTACGAATGTTCTGTTCCACAACTGGCCTGCATTGCTATGATTTCAGTGCTTTCTGTATTCTAGTTACTTCCATTCTGCTTTAGCCAATGCAAAAACTATGTGTAAAACCAACACCATCTACGCTGCCATATAATGCATTCTCATAATGTAGTTTAACTTCATTGAACTGCATTATATAGCAGTGTAGTCAGATATAATGCAATTCGGTGCAGTTAAATTGCATTATGAAAACACATTATATGGTCATTGTAGACGCACATAATGCAGACAAAACTGGATTATGTGAGTATACACTGCCATATAATCCAGGGCCCTTTAATACTGCTATATAATTAGGATACCAAGGCAGATAATCTTCATTATTGGTTTTGAATTGGATTATCTGAGCCCCCTTCCCCACAGATGTGTAAAATCCATATTGAACTGGATTATATGGCAGTGTGGACAGATATAATTCAGTTCAAAGCAGACACTGTGGACTATCTGCCTTGATATTCTTGGTTGTGTGGAAGGTCACTGAGTCTACACTGCAATATAATCCAGTCCAAAACAGATAACCTAGATTTTATACAGCTGTGTAGAATGCCCCCAGTTCAACGCAGTTGATCTGCATTATTGTACATGGGTCCTGGATTTCTCTCCATCTATCCATTATGTGAATTAAGGAATTCATGCTGATTGTATGCAACCCAAACCAATACCTTTTCCTTTCAGACAAATTGTTTTA